GTGTGAGTGTGAGTGTTTGTGTGTGTGTGAGTGTGAGTGTGAGTGTTTGTGTGTGTGTGTGTGAGTGTGAGTGTGAGTGTTTGTGTGTGTGTGTACAGTAAATCAGTGTTTGACCTTCAGCCCACATCCATTCTGTAATTACATCACACTCCAGGACGTAGTCACGACCTGAAAAGCCCTAAAAAGCCTAGACATGGTTTTTATTTTATTGTATTTTATTTACTATTACTTTTACTTTATTTTGAGCATTACACCTGTATTTTACTTTCTATTTTATGATGTTATTTAGAGCATTACACCTGTATTTTTTTATTCTGTGTTATTTTATTTTGACCTGTAATTTAATTTAATATTATTTTACTTTATTGTATTTAGAGGATTATTCCTGTATTTTATTTTATTTGTTACTTTTAATTTATTTTGAGCTTAATTTAATTTAATTTTACTTTTTGTTTTATTTTATTTTGAGCATTATACCAGAATTTTTATTTTATTTTATTAGGTGCAATACACCTGTATTTTATTTTACTTTTTAAATTTTATTTTATATAGAGCATTACACCTGTATTTTATTTTTCCCTTTTATCAACCACAGCATCACAGTAAACAGCTGAGGTTAATGACTAAACTGAGAAATGCGGCATAAAAGTTAACCTTCAACAGCCATCTTTACTCTTTATTACCACTACATGCACTTTTGCTTTCTCCAGCCTTACTGTTGTTTACTGGCGTGTTTTATTGTGTTTAATAGTTCCCTGGAATCACGCACTGGAGTGTTTCTCCATCTCATTTTAAAGTTCATATAATTCAAAGTAATTTAAAAGCTTCAATCAAATGTAAATATAGATGAAAGGATTATTCCAGGTTATAGACAGAATCTGTGGCATCATGCTGTTGATCACCAAAGCCAGTAAGATTATCAAAACAAACAAGCACTACAGTCAAACACATGCGCATGATGATCAGAGGCTTTAAAAGCTTTCGTATGTTTGCTAATTCTTCAATAAAATATTTGTTATTTGAGCTGTAAAGTGCCTTTTTAGAGCTGCTGGACGTAGTTGTGGTTCATTTATCCTCATGCAGATCATCTTCGGCTTCACCAGATATACATGTGCATGATCTGAAATACTGCATTTATTAATGCAATACTGGACATATTTATGCATTTCATGCTAACATATGTCATACATGTTATAGTATATAAAAGCATCATGATGAATGCATATTTTACCATTTATTTGCAGAAGACTGAACCCATAAAAATTAATTTTGGACCAAATTATTCTGTCAGAGACTCTGTTAAGTATTAAACCCAGAATATTCTGCGCTCATATCACAGTATTAATTGTCATGCAGTAAATATCTCCGTTTCAGAACTGAAATCAGACAATGGCAGAATGTAAGAAAGATATCCTGGATTCTGAATTTTATTATCACGAACTGTATCTATGCTCTTCATCTAAAATCTTGAAAATAAATTGTTTATTATTACATACAACACTTGCCAGAACAAAATATATATATATATATATAAATAGGGAACAAAATGTACACAAAAAAACAACATCTCGTTTGAGTAATAATAGGCAGTACAGTTAATCTGCAATGCTGGAGAAACTGTACAGAATTATTAGTGGTCAAAAACACTGTTTCTAGAAGTCATTGACCCTTGTGTGCGGTGAATTATAGAAACAGCCACAGACAGACACTCAACGCTCTACAGACAGGAGGACTTGTGGGCGGGGCTTGTTGTTGTGGGCGGGGCCGGGTGGTTCACATTATCTTGAAAAATCCAGCCTTTGACATAATGCTATTTCTTCAGAGATCCTGACATCTTGCGCAGTCCCTTCATCCTGTAGAGCAGCCCATTGATAAAGTCCTGTGGTCAGAGAGAGAGCTTGGTTAAGGTTTAGCGTGCTGTTATAAAGTTTTTAAAAAAAATGTGGTTAATTTATTATGAAAAACTGTCTATGCAACCATCTATGGTAATGTAACTTACAGTTTATCTATTGAAGGATTTTACAGTTGCACTTTCTTTTATGTTAAAATTACAATACATTTTAAGTCCAAATTTGCATATAAAATTTGCATATATTTGGGTTACACAGTTTTAACATGACAAAAACTAATAAACTTAATGTGATGTGTATTTGTCAGTCATACATAAATGAAACCGGTCATATTTCTGTAATAGTACTAATAAACTTTAATGTGTTTTAAATGCACAATAACCAGTTTTATGTATTTATCATCAAAAAATCCAATTTATTGAAGTAATTATTGAAAATTACTTGCTGCATATTTAACCATGTTCATACTTTTAAACTGAATAAGTGCAATTTTTCACAATGAACAGATTTATGCTGATTCTAAGCTATTTGAATAAATGCTTTTTATCATATAAAATTAAAATATTTAATAATGAAACTATGACATGATGTTTTTTTTGCATTAAGTGTGGAAATCATTTTTGTATTACTGGCATATATGAAATATGAATCACATTTTATTTAAAGTTTATTAGTTTATGTTAATGTTGTGTAATCCAAATGGATAGAAAAATGATATGCAATTCATAAATCTTAAATTTAGGCCTACATTTTTTATTTTTTTGAGTGCATCTGATTTTTTGGAGGATTTTCTTCATAATATTCAAATACAATAAATATTTACAAAAAACAAAAACCAATAAAAATGTCAAAAGCACATAACAAAATGACTAAAAAGAAAACGGAAAATATAAAACAATTGAAAATATTTATACATTCACTAATACTTTAATAAAGCTGAAATAAAATAAAATATAAATATTAGATAAAAAAAATGTTAAACAAAATAGTAACGTTGCCTTGGCAACTAAGTAAAATTAAGTTGAAGTAAAATGACTAAAACTTATAAATATAAATTATAGCTAAATAGAAATATAACTTTTTTTATCAAACTTAAAACTAAAAATATATATATATATATATATATATATAAACAGAAAATATAAAACTAATTTAAAATATTAATATTTATAATAATATTCAAATAATACTAATCTAAATGGGTGGAAATTTTATATGCCATTAAAATACATATATCTTAAATTTAGGCCTAAATATTTTTTCACTGCATCTGATTTTTGGAGGGAGTTTCTACATAATCTCTATAACATAAAGCATGACTCATTTGTTATAATAAGTGCATATGAAAGCTGTTTGTGGTTTCTTACAGGTCTCTGAGCAGTAGTGTGTAACTATTCAAATCTATCAAAACCTTTCAGTGTTTTCAACCATATAATGTTTATTTTATGTTTCTCACACTGTCGCAAATAAAGTGAAAAATGAATTGAAAAGTGTAAATTACGGCATTACATTTATATCTGCTTATGTTGCACCATATCTTCTTTTTACAGGTTTTTGCAGAGATGCGCATTAAACCAGTCACAGACGATTCTGCTGAGCTTATGAATGCAATGTCCAATCAGAAGCGTTCAGATCAGTCATCGCTGAAACGCTGCTGGTTTGTTCAGTGCTCGCACTCTCTCATCTCATTGCAAATTCTCTAATCATAAACATCAGAGTGCACATGTGCGTGCGATGTAATTAAGAGCTTAATTTCACCGTGTAGACAGCTTCATTGATTACAGGCGAACAGGAGGGGTTTTTGAGAGTGCTTAAACTCGTGCTAGATTTAAGTCAATTATAATGTTATGTAAATGTCTTTGGCTTACTTTCTGTAAAATCAAAGCGTTATAATTAGTAACTTACAATGTTTTTATTAAATTCACGTTAAATACAAAATCAGTCGTATTCAAAATATTTTATTACATGACACCCATAAGTAAAGTACTTAAGTTAAAAAGACGGGTTTTATGCGTAGGTAATAGATTACACTTACATTAGGCTACTTGCCCATCGCCCGTTATAGATGCAAAATTAATTTGTGCAAAAATTCTAATTGCATGAAATCCTTCCCCCGAGGAACGCGATTTTGAGAGTTTTGTCTTACCTCCTTTGGCTTTCCACATTCTTGCAAAAGCTCCTGTTAAAAGACAGAACAGCAGGTACAACATCTATACATGTTTGTCATAAAGTTATAGATGCATGCAGTCACACTGATGCAGAGGTTATCTGTTTAGTGCTATGCATCAGATGAAGCTGAAGCTGAACGTACGTGCAGTCGAGATCTCTGCTCTTCATCTGTCAGCTCTAGAAGTTCATCAATGTCGATCTCCAGGTCAGGAATCTCGTCCTCCTGCACAGACAATCAATGTGGCGGTTTCAGCAGATGCTCATAACTGAGACACTGTGCATTTAATGCAATCGCTCCTTTAATTGCAAAAAAATCTATTCATAATTATGAAAGTTATTGGTCCAGAGATGTTGAGATGCAATCAAACTGCAAACCGCAATGAGTCTCAATGTGTGTCTAACTGATGAATGATGCTGGAAATGCAGTAGCAGTAAAAGACACGCTATTATAATACATGCAGCATGATTTATTGACAAAAATTTTTTTTCAAAAATAAATTAAATATATTAAAAAAATGTATTTGCTAAAATATATTTCAAGATATATTTACGTGAATATATTTTCTACCAATATTAGTTTTTGCCATTTTTTATATATTTTTTAAAATATATTTTTTTTTTATATATTTATTAAAATATATTTTAAAAAGATAAACATGCTTTTAAAAATATATATTTTTTAAATGTATTTTCAAAAATATACAAAAAATGGCAAAAAATAATATATATATATATATATATATATATTTGTAATAATTTTTTATTATATTTTTCAAAAACATATGAAAAATGGCCAGAAAATGTATGTGCTAAAAAATGTATTTCATTGAGCTTCACAGTTTACAGCATATATTTAGCATTTATTTTAAATATATTTTGACCAGAAAATCCACTGTGTTATTATAAATAATTAAGCAACACTGTTAGTAAAATAATCTGTAGAAAAATGCATAATGTCCTGGCAGAAAATGACCAGTACATTTTCCATTAAATTTATGCACATTTTCTTCAACCCTAAAACATTATGCAATGCATAATTCAAAATACAGATAAAACACATGCAAAAAATCAATACAAAAAATCCTTCATATTAACGCAGTGCATTGGACCATGTTTTTACAGACTTTTCTTAGCGAATATAATTTATGCAGGAAATCATATATGGCAGGTTATACCTTGTGTGAAATTGCTAATAGTCTTTGAGTTTTAAGCTCAAAGCATCTCTGCTGGACTGTTTTAATGACATCCGCTCTTAAAAGCATCTCAAATTAGATCAGAGAAATGACGACCCCCAGAGTGACGCCGCATTAGTATAATAGCTGTAGTAATTCTTGTATTTTATTCACACATCACAACTTGTTGCATATTATGTTGTTTATAGGCAATATGCTACATGGTGTCCAGTTAGAAGTCTTTTTGAATGTCCTAAAAGCAGTGTTGAAATTGTTAACTAAAACTAAAACTATTAAAAATTATTTATTTCAATTTATTAATTGAAATAAAGCTGAAATCAAATAAAAATATTAGATGAAAAACATAAACTTATAAATGTTTGTTGACAATAACTGAAATAAAATAAGTTGATGTGCTATTACTAAAAGTAAAACTGAAATTAAATAAAATTAAAGCTAAATAGAAATATTAAAAACTAATAACAAAATTACTAAAAATTTAACTAAGATTAATATAAAACTAATCTAAAAATTCAACTAATTCAGAATATTGTTACATACATTAATATAGTAATAAAGCTTAATAATAAGACATTACATGAAAAGAAAGTTCACCTTAAATTAAAATTTGTAATGTTGCCTTGACAATTAATTGAAATAATATAAGTTGAAGTATTAAAATGACTAAAATTAACACTGAAATAAAAACAAATTAGAGCTAAATAGAAATATATATTTTTTTAAACTAATAAAAATTACAATTTCTCCCCTCATTTTCTTTTTAAAATTTTTTATTTATTTTTATTGTAAACTAAAGCACTTTGAATCAACTACGGTTGTGTTAAACTTGTGCTCTATAAATAAAATTCGCCTTGCCTCGACACAAGCACATGATAAAATTACTAAAACTTAAACTAATATTTAAAAAAACATATAAATATAAAAAATATATATATAAAAATCTGAAAATATATAAAAACTAAAAGCCAATTCAAATATTATTGCATACATTAATTATATTAATAAAGCTGAAATAAAAATATTAGATAAAAACATAAACTTAAAATTAGAAAAGTTTCTTGACAACCACCTGAAATAAAACAGATTGAAATACTAATGCTAAAACTAAAACGGAAATATAAAGCTAAATAGACACATACAAAAGTGTGTTTTTATTGACAAAAAAATGACAAAAGTACCTAACAAAATTACTAAAACTTAAATTAAAATGAAAATTGAAAATATAAAAGATAATTTAAAATATTAATGCATACTGAAAAAAAAAAACTCAACTCAACCTCGAGTTATTCCAAACCTGACTTTATTTTTTGGAGATGTTTAGCATCATGAATGCATCTTTTATGGTCTTTTTGTCCTTTTTACAGCATGACAGCTCCTGTTCTCTGTCTGCTTTCATATAGAAAAGAGCCAGCGTGAACATTCTGACTAAAAGTCATGCAGGTTTGGAACAACATAAGTGTGAGTCAATGATCAGGTGAATTATTCCTCTACACGGTAATAACTGTACAACAGTCACACTAAAGAAGGCCATATTTCGGTCTCAGTTAGCGTGTGTTGTGTCTGAATGAGATTTCACAGATATCAGGCGGCGCTGGTTCCCTAATGTGGATCCATTACTAATCTGATCTTCCTTCCCGGGTTTCCTGCCTCAGGCTCACAGCCATCAAAACACAAATACTGCAACATTCATTCACATAATGTGGAAGCGTTCTCCAGTAGCACTGATGCAGTGGACCTTTGACCCCACAGAATGTCAGCACAAATACAAGAGCATCCTTAAAAAAACAAAACAATGATCACTGTAAAAAAAAATCCCACCTACTTCAGGTTGAAAACTTACGGCAAGACACTACACTTCAAATGTCACCATATATATCACCATATATAGTTGCTAAATGATTACATCAAGAATTACAAACTTTTTGTGCATTACAAGTATTACAAGGCATTATCTTATTAAAAATACACTATTTTGCATACAGAAATCTGAACACTGGATAAAGCCAGGTTCAAAAATATTTTCATTTTATTGACATATTAGATTTTTACTGAGTGGATTTTGAATATGTTCTTTTATCACTGCATAAATCAGAAAATACTGTCAAAAGTGGGAAAAATCACCATGTTTTTAGGAATAAAATATTGTATAAAATTATAGGCGAATGATATATGAACAAACCCCTCAGTAAAAACCTTCGGAATATAAATAGAAATAAAACTGTAAATTTTGGTGTATGTGAGTGCTGCTGAAGTGGAGAAAAAACTAATTTTGAGAAAACAGCCTTTAAAAATATGTATTATAATTAAAACATATTCAAATATATAAAATGCAATGATAAAATATTATATTATATTATATTATATGAACAAACACCTCAGTAAAAACCTTCAGAATATAGATTTATAGAATACAAATTTTGGTGTATGTAAAAGCTGTTGAAGTGGAGATAAAAATCTTTAAATATATGTATTTAAACTGAAATCTATGCCGCAAATAGATAACGTGCAATACACTTAAGTTTATTTTGAATGTTTTCTTTTTTAACTAGTCTGAAACAACACGTTAAGAAGACCCCAATTACCCAAAATCTCAATATTGACCAGTGCATAAAAAACAGAGGTTTTGCCTGTAGTGTCATGCTTTAAGTTCACTTGCTGCCTTAAATACTTATTATATTAAAAATCTGTACCCAAAAGTGAGCAAAACCTGACAAAATCGCCAAAAACCTCCATTTGGAGATGTCCTCATTTGTAAAACTGGTATAAAAATAAAGTAAACAAAGTTTTTTTGAAATTGTAAAAATGCAGAAAGTTTTCTGTGAGGGTTAGGGGTGGGTTTAGGTTAAAAAGTGTATAACTATTTGTATATAAAAACAATAGTCTATGAAATGTCCCCATTTAGATAGCTAAGTAAACATGCGCGTGTGTGTGTGTGTGTGTGTGTGTGTGTGTCGTCCTGTAGTGTTTGTGTTCCAGACATGCAATCATGAGCAGTGTTGGGGGTAACGCATTACAAGTAACGCGAGTTACGTAATCGGATTACTTTTTTTCAAGTAACTAGTAAAGTAACGCATTACTTTTTTAATTTACAAGAAAATATCTGAGTTACTTTTTCAAAAAAGTAACGCCAGTTACTTTGTTTTCCCATTTATTGACTGACAGCTCTCCTGTCCCCATATTGGGAGAAATCGGGAGTACAGAGGCGTTGTGTGCGCTGTGTGAACATGATGCAGTTCTAGACTAAATGTGAATGTGCATTAATTCATCCCACTCACAAAAAACTTCAGCCTGAGGTTTATTCATTACACTTTTTGGTGTGAAAGGGCTTTTACATTTGCTATAAATAGAACTTCTTATATTAAAAACAATCAAGCCCTGTTCATATTTAAAAAGTAACGTGAAAGTAACGCAAAAGTAATATAACGCATTACTTTCCATAAAAAGTAACTAAGTAACGTAATTAGTTACTTTTTTTAGGGAGTAATGCAGTATTGTAATGCATTACTTTTAAAAGTAACTTTCCCCAACACTGATCATGAGTATTTGCACACCAGACAGTAAGAATACACCTAGCAGCCACATAGCAACACTCAAGCAACTGCTCAGAACACAGAGCAACCCACTGCGAACAACTCATTCATTCTTTGAAATAGTTTCTTGAAACTCATTTTCAACTGTCATGTTAATAAAAACCAAAAACGCATGATTTGAAGTCAGGGTTGGGCAGAGTAACTGCAGGATCCAATGAGTTCACGCATAAATTAGAAATGCTCATGAATAATGCAGCTGTTGACACAAGGGCCGGACTGTTACAGGCTTCCACACGGAAGCGTCAGAGAACCCAGAGTGAAACCCTTCCGCTGGCTCATCAAATATTCATCATCATCGCCAAAACGACACTCCCAAACCACAGAGAGCTCAATTTTAGAAAACCATGTGCAGTATATTCTGGTGCTTAAAAAAAAAAAACAGAAGCTAATACACTGATATGAGGAGTATATAATATTCCACTATAGTCTTATGAATAATACTAT